AATATTGTCACAACTCCTTTCTTCAATTTTAATACGAAAATTCTGCTGTAGATTTTTAAATTCCAATTTAAATTTAAGCACCTTTCCGTTGTGTTATATTACGTGTGAATACAATTTCATGAACATTTTGTGTCCTGTTTAGAATGTTAATATTAAATTTTCTAACAACATATTAAAATTTCAAAAGATTTTTTATCATAGAAGAAGTATAAGAAATCAACAAGTTGATTATAAGTAGACATAATTTCGCGTATTCTAATTTACGTAATTACTTTAGTGGTTATAATGCCAATGATCTTTGTTGACACGTTCATTAAAGAGAGAAATGCAATAAGGCATTTACAAAATTTTAAATTTACACTGGTCAACGATTTTTAACACAAAGATGATTGTGCAATGCTGAATCCTTAATTTTATGTTAAGATTTATTAATTTATGTTAAGATATGGTAAGATATATCTATTATACATATGTATATACAGTAGAGTTATTATATGGTTATCTTAATTTAGTAATGAGTTATGTGCGTTTAAGTGATTTTCGGGACGGGACCTTGTATGGGAGCTATGTCCAATTATGGACCGATCCAGAAAATTTTTCTTTGTATGGATTCTATTGATATAGAATTTTAATTTGTCAAATTTCGTGAAGATATCAACATTCTGACGGAGTTATTAACAATAAACTCATTTTCCGGGACTATGTACTTTTGTATGAGAGGCATATGAAATTGTGAACCGCCAATTTTTAATGAGAATCAAGCTCTCGTGTAATTTTCACGCAATTATAATGCATAGTTTTCGAGAAAATTACATCAGAATGTGTAAAAATGCTTATTTTTTTGGGAGTTGTTTGAAATTTTGATTCATAACTTTTCCCGATGTGAACTGAATTTGCTCATTTTTAATACGAAATAACTTAGGAAAATGAAGAACATTTCGGGTGAATTCGGTTAAATTCTATTACTTCGTTTTATCGTGAGCGTGTACTACACAGACATACGGACAGATGGAAATCGACTCAGACTTGATAAGGACGCAGAATATATTTATATACTTTGTTGAATCTCAGATGAATATCTCTTGGTGTTACACACTATCACAACTGATGGTGGTGGAGGGTATAAAAATAGTGTTAAACCATATAATAAAGACATTACTAATGCGATTACAGTAATTCCTCGATTTACGTCGTAATTGGTTCCGGGAAAAGGCGGCGTAAATCGAATCGACGTAAATCGAATTTCAAATAACTCATACTATCAGATGCATTTATTTATGTTGGTATATTTTATAAAATAAACCATAATAATTAAATTTTTATTGTGTATAACTACGTAATAAATATATAATATATAATATAAATATATAATGATAAAAATATCAAGGTAGTGTCATTCTCTCTTTTTGTCGCCATAGTAACTTTCTGACGTTTGCTGGTATTTTAATAAATCGAGCTACCACATTTATTTTGAAAATCCTATTTATTTTTGTTTATTTTTCAAACAAAAATAAAAATCAAACAAAATTTTAAATTCAATAAAAATACATTAAAAATTTTACTAAATCTGCCAAAAACAAAAAAATACATCAATAAATATAAGCTGTTAAGCCCATTATCAAATTGATGGACACTAGGCGCCTCCGAAAACATTGCCTGTTGCTTCCCATGTTCTTTAAGTTGCGGAATGGATTAACAGGAGGAACCAACTAAAAACGGTATACATACATATGTAATAATAAATTGGGGTTTTTATCATCTTACATCAAGAATTTATCTTCCAACGTATATGTAGGTATATATGTAGGCAGAATGAACCAGAATTAGCTGTCCATTCGGTCCAAGAATACGCGGTTTTATTCAAGTGCAAAATAACGCTGTCATGAAATCTTTTTTTTTTAATCTGTGTGCCTCCGGTGGGTTAGTTGTTAGTATTTTAGTCTGTTAGACCGGAAGTCGTGGGTTCGATTTCCACCAGAGACACTAACAAAGGAAACCACAACAGGCCCTGTAAAAACCTAGGTGTATTTATTCAGGTTTGATGAAACATACATCCTCCTTTCAAACTAACTATTATCGGTTATCGCTGGACTTAAAATATTTTAGAAATCATTATCATAAATTCCACATACACTACACAAATTTCTTTTAACCTAGTTTCCCATTTTTCATATACTATGGCAAGGATTTTTCTATTTATTTACAAAATACAAATATCAAAAATACCAGTAAACTTCAAAAAAATTTTTGAGAGAGAGAAATGACACTACCTTCATTCCTTGTATTTTGTATTTTTAATTTCTTATAAAAATTTATTTCATACTTTGTTCACAAAAAGTTTCATGAATAATAACAAAAAATAATGCATTAACACAAATATATAAATACTATTTAAAAGAGGTACATATAGAAATTTTTACTTAAAAACTAAAAAGATAATTCAATCACATATTTTTTGTACATGGTATATATTAATTAAAAGAAAAAACTTTAAAAAAGTAATTAGTGAATATAAAAGTTAATCATTGGAATCCGAGTTTTATGAACAGATTTCAGAAATTATCATTTCAATGTCATCATCAAAAGTAGATTGCTGTGATGTCTGACTCTGGCTTTTGGATGTCGTGTCTGATGAAATAGGTTTAAAAAATGAATCGATTCACTTCTGAGGCATGGTCAACTTTTTCTATTCGTACAGTTCCTTGTAAGACTTAAGGCCCATAGTTATTGACTTTTTTGTTGACTCAACTCTTTCTTCATCATCGTCAAATTCTTCAAAAATCTGCATAGCTTTTTCAATACAACTAAAGGCCTCTGAGAGTTTTGATAATGGAATCTGATGATGTTTTTCATTTTCTTTTTCCCCTTGATTTTTTTGCTGATTTGAGGGATTTATGAGTGCAAATAGTTCAGAGTTGGTTAGTGGTTCTTCTTCAAAATTTAAAACTTCAGCCACATCTGATTCATCTATTTCAGAAAATCCTAATGTATGGGCCAAATTTATAATTTCATCGTTTATATTACTAACATTTTCGGCAGTTTCAATATCAGTTGTACATTCAGGCCATATTTTTTTCCACGAATTTCGCATAGTCAACGCAGATACCTCACCCCAACAATGTTTTATATTTTCTATTGCTTGCATAATATCATAGTTCTTAAAAAACTGCCGTATAACATCGTTATTTTCATTAGATTGCTTGTCTATTTCTTTTATAAGATTATTAAAACTGCGTCTTAAATAATATTTTTTGAATGCGGCAATAACACCTTAGTCCGTAGTTTGAATGAGCGAAGTTGTGTTTGGAGGTAAAAATACGACTTTAATATTATCGTCCATGTTATCTACATTTATTGTATGACCTGGAGCATTGTCCATTAGTAACAGTGCTTTATGCGATAAATTATTTGTTTTGCAGTATTTTTTTTTCTGGGCAAAAATGTATTTTGAATCAATCATTAAATAACATAGAAGTCATCCAAGCCTTTTTGTTTGACATCCACACTACCGGAAGATTTTCTTTTGAAATGTTTTTCATAGCCCTTGGAGTTTCAGACTTATATACTTATATCCCCTGCAGCATTACCACCAAGTAAAAGAGTTAGTCTTTCCTTCGAAACCTTTGGACCGCTAGCTATTTTTTCTTCCTTAGATGTGAATGTCTTGATGGCATTCGTTTCCAGAATAGACCTGTTTCATCTATATTGAAGACTTGCTGAGGGGTATATCCCCCATCATCAATTATCTCCTGTAACTTAGGAAAGCTAATAGCTGCATCATTGTCTGCACTCGCAGATTCCCCGACAACTTTTATATTGTGTAGTTGAGCTCTTTTTTAAAATTTTTCCAACCATCCTCCACTGGCAGTAAAACTGCAATCAGCTATATCATCATTTTGTACAGCATTTGATTTTAATTCATTGAACAAACTTATTGCTTTTCTTTGAATAACTAAAGTTGTTAAAGGAATGTTTTTTTGCCCAAATCCTTTATGCACATTAACAGACTTAAAATGACCAACTTAGTTTTTTAACGAAATTACATTTCGTTTTCTTTTTATAACATCACTTGTTTTATTTTTTGAACTCATAGTTAAATTAAACAAATATTTTTTTATTGTTAAAACTCTATCTTTACTTTATTCAAATTGTTACACACAAATTTTAAAATTTTTAAAAAAGGGAATTCCCCTGATTTCATTTATAAACAACAGAGGCGACGTAAATCGAATGACGACGCAAATCGAAGTTGAGAGGAACAAAATTTTTGACGATGTTAATCGAAACAACGTAAATCGAGACGACGTAAATCGAGGGAATACTGTACTTCTAAATTATGCAATTTTAATGTAGACTAAAAGCTAGACTATAGACTAGACTATATGTAGATTAGACTGGACTAGACTATAGACTAGACCTGGCCAGACCAGACTAGACTATGGACTAGACTATGGACTAGACTATAGACTAGACTATAGACTAGACTAGACTAGACTAGACTAGACTATAGACTAGACTATAGACTAAACTACAGACTAGACTATCGATGCGTATTAATGTACTGAAAACGAGAAAAATAAAAAACATTTTTTTTAAATGGTCCTAAGTTCCTTACCAGAGATTGAATATCCTAAACTCAGTATGATCAGTATGTGAAAAATAAAATATTTTCGATTTTTTTTAAATGAGTCTCAAAATTTCGTAATATTGAGCTGATTACGGTAAGAGTAATTTAAAAAATTTTGCAGAGTATTTTTGGTCCACAAAATGATTTTTAGTGGGATGAAGATGTATATTATTTTAGCTTTTTATCAAAATAAGTGTCAAAATTGTCGTAATTTTTAGCTTATACAGAAAAACATTTTAAAAATAGTGAAAAACCTTAATATTTTTTAAGGTAAAATTTAAAAATGGTGGGCAAATCTTTTCTATTTTTATTAAAAAATTAGTTTAAAAAACGAAGAAGAAACACGTCTTGTTTAAACCAATATATAATGAACAGTAAGTCTTTATTTAATTCAAATTTTCTATATAGCTATTAATACTTCATTTTTCTTTAGATATTTCTCCTACTTTCCCGTTGGCCATTGTTCATTCCATTTAACCGAACAGTAAGTAGAATATCTTATACTTTTGTTTAATGTTACATATGTTTAGATACATGTTTAGATTTATGTTTACTTTTATGTTTAAATACAATTCATTTTTAGTTTTAAATCTTAAACATGTTGTTTAATTGGGACAATTAACAGATAGGTAAGTGAACGCGAACTGGTGCAGAATCGAACGAACATCCCGGCCCCATTGAAGGACCAAAGGTCTTCAACTCATTGGTAATAATGCGAGCTTTTGAATGGGACGTTTAAATACGCCGTTTTTTGTGCGTATCTCTGCCACCCTGACCTTGCCGTCCTTGCCTTCTGTTACGGCTACGATGCGTCCGGTCAACCACTCCTGGGGTGGCAGGTTGTCTTCGTGAATTATCACTAACTCGCCCACCTGCAGATTGGGAGCTTGCTGCTGCCATTTGGCCTTGTGCTGTAGACCCAGTATATATTCTTTGGACCAAGCTTGCCAAAACATCTCCTTGAGTCCGGAGAGTAGTCGCCATCGCCTCCAAGACTTCAGCACGTTGTCTTTCGCGCCTTCTTCTGATCCTGGCGGCAGCGAACGCAGACCCCCGCCTATTAACAGATGTGCTGGCGTTAGTGCTTCCCCGTCGTTGGGATCTGGTGACAGCGGTGCTATGGGTCGGCTGTTCAGCACCGCCTCCACTTCTGCAAGCATGGTTCCCATTTCTTCGGCGTTGAGAGACGCGTTGCCTACTGCTCGCAGAAGCAGGTGTTTGGCTTGCTTGACAGCAGCTTCCCACAGACCTCCGAAGTGAGGTGCTCGAGGTGGAATGAAGCTGAACTCGATTTCGACTGATGCCGCGAATGTCACCAGGGCCTCTCGTTGATCCTCGAACGCCTTCTGTAGTTCCTTCAACTCTCTGCTGGCTCCTACAAAGTTCGTTGCATTGTCGCAATGAATCCTCCTCGGCAGTCCTCGTCTGGCAGCAAACCTTTTAAGACATAAAATAAATGCATTAGATGACAAATCAGACACCAACTCCAAGTGAACAGCCTTTGAAGAAAAACAAACAAACACCGCAATATACATCTTTATTGGCGGTCTTCCTCGAATTCTCAGTGATACATTTACTGGTCCACAAAAGTCAACGCCAACAACTAAAAATGGACGCATAGCCCTCACTCTATCGGTGGGTAAGTCTCCCATTATCTGAGACATTAATTTTGGTTTGTATCGAAAACAATGGACACATTTACGAACAATTCTTCGACATTCCTCCTTGGCATTTACTAACCAGATTTTTTCTCTTAACAATGATATCATAGCCTTGGCACCGGCATGACAATTAACAATATGTAAATGTCGAAGATATATCTCGACGAAATGTATACCCTTTGGTAATAAGAGTGGAAATCTTGTATCATAAGGTATTGGAGCATTAAGTAATCTGCCTCCCACTCTTATAAGAGAAAAAGAACGACCGTCCTCAGTGACATTGTGAATGAATGGGGTCAATTTTTGGATATTAGATGGTAATATCTGAGACTTTTTCAATTTAAGTATTTCGTCACTGTAATACTCCATCTGTATGATCTCCACAATTTTTAGAAAAGACCAATTTAATTCCTTAGCTGTGGGAACCTTAAACTTATCTATTTTCAATTTTCTAGTGCCATTGACAAATCTAAGAACAAAACACACGATCCTTAGGAACTTGTTATAAGAAGAATGCCTTTTCAAAAGATTAATGAAAGTGTTCGTAGAATCTTCTATACCTTTCTGATTCTTTATTGACAATAAAACAGTGGATTTTCTTTTTTCTAAAGACTCTTGTTCGGGATTTAGCTTAATGTTTTTACTAGCTGGCCAATTAGAAGATTCTTTTAACAGAAAAGCAGGCCCACCGAACCATATAGAATTTATTAATTCATCCACATCACACCCTCTTGATACTATGTCAGCAGGGTTATGTTTCGTTGGAACATGTCGCCATATTGCGTGAGCTGTACATTCTTGAATCTCTGCGACTCTATTTGAAACAAAAGTTGTAAGTAAAGACGGGTGTGTTTTTATCCAATACAATGTTATTTCCGAATCTGTCCAAAAATTTATAGTTTCAATTTCAAAATTTATCATATTTTTCAACTTAGTCCACAGTTTAGCCAATAGATGAGCGGCGCATAACTCAAGTCTAGGTAGCGATTTGGTCTTAATTGGAGCTACTTTAGACTTTGCGGTTAACAGTCTACAATATGTTTTGTCTTCAATTGTGCTCCGTATATAAATACAGCACCCATAAGCTCTTATCGAGGCATCGCAAAATCCGTGTATTTGGACATTTGCCGTTGAGGTTGTTTGCACAAATCTGTGAACTGAAATTGATTTTATTTTTAATAAATTACTTTTGAAATTCTCCCATGTCGTATTCAATCGCATGGGGATCGATTCATCCCAGTCTAGTTTTTGAAGCCAAAGCTCCTGAAGAAGCATTTTAGACTTGGTTACAATTGGGCTTAAAAGTCCGAGAGGATCAAAGAGCCGAGAAGAAACGGACAAAATGTTTCGTTTTGTTGCTCGTAAATTACTAAATGTATCTTCCAAATGAAAAGTGAAAGAATCGTTCTTCGGAACCCAATGTATTCCTAATGCCTTAGACGTTTCTGAATCATTTACTAACAGTTTTTCCATTTGATTACTATTTTTATCATCTGAATAATTTGTAAACCACTTTGTTAATATAAATCCAGCAGATTTAAGGATTTCTGTAACTTGATCTCTAATTTTTACGAGATCAACTATAGTATCAGCGCCAGTTATTAAATCATCAACATAAAAGTCAGTCCGAATGACCTTGGCGCCGAGTGGTAAACTATTTTGGTATAAATCACTTAGGTAAACAAGGCACCTAATTGCGAGAAATGGAGCCGATGAAATACCATAAGTTACTGTGTTCAATCGAAATATTCTCAATGAATCTGAAGGACTTTCTCTCCATAGTATAAGCTGAAAATTTCTATCAGCCTCACTGATTAAAACCTGACGGTACATTTTTTCAATGTCAGCAGTTACAACATATCTATGAAACCGAAAGCGAATTAATATTGAATAAAGCTCCTCTTGTATAGTTGGTCCAACCATTAACAAGTCATTTAAAGATGTATGAGAAGTAGTTTTACTTGACGCGTCAAAAACTACTCGAAGTTTAGTACTTGTGCTCTGTGGACGTAAAATACATTGATGAGGGATAAAATAGTGAGAATAGTTTGGAATACGATTGTCAGTGACGGACATATGACCTAATTCGAGGTATTCTTTCATGAATTCATGATACATATTTTTCATTGTTGGATCTTTCGAAAGTCTACGCTCTAAGGATATAAATCGTCTCTTAGCTATTTCAAAGGAAGATCCTAACATATTTGAATCTTTCTTGAATGGCAAGGAAACTAAAAATCGACCTGAGTCTAAGCGCTTAACTGACTCCTTAAATTTTTTCTCACATTCTCGTTGTTCTTCATTATACATTACTACATCACGAGGTAGCTCTTCTAACTCCCAAAATTTTCTAACAACGGAATCCACATAATCTTCATTTTCAATAAGTTCATTTACGTGACAAAGATTTGATCTCGTGCCCTTTGGTTGATTGCATTTTCCAACTACAATCCAACCAAGTGTAGTTTTCTGAAGCATTGGCATATTGTGTGTAGATTTTATTTGACCCACACAAAGTAGCTCGAAGAAAATTTCACTACCAATTAGAATATCCACTTTTTGTGGTTTGTAGAAGCATGGATCTGCTAATTCAATATTCTTTGGAATATCCCAGTCGTTTATGTTTATCTTACGATCAGGTAGATAGCTTGTAATCGAACCTAATATCCAGAATTTCGAATTTAATTGTGTGCTATTAACTCTTGATTTCATAGTCAATTCAACACTTGACTTAGCAACTGAATTAGCTTTTCCGATACCATTTAAACTCAATTTACCTCCCTCTCTTTTTAGTCTCAGTCTTTGGGCCAATTCTTCAGTTATTAAATTCGTCTGAGACCCAGAATCTAATAATGCTCTTGCCATAATAAAATCACCAGAATAGCTTCTTACTTTGACTAATGCCGTTGCAAGAATCACATTATCGTCAGAAGATGAAAAATTTATTGAAGCCTGAGATGTTGCTGGATGATCAGTAGCATTTGAAATGTTTTGACTATTAGTTGTAACATTAGAATCGTTCCCAAAACGATGCAAAAGATTGTTGTGAGAACCATTACAAATTCCACATTTCCTATAATTACATCTCGATACAGTGTGACCTTTTTTAAGACAGTTAATACATGCAGGAACGGATTTTATAAACTCAAATCTTTGACGAACCGATTCTGCAGTAAAAGAGGGGCAATCGTAAATATTGTGTTGAGCAGATTTGCAAAATAAGCATTTATCTGCTGATTGTTTTGTTTTCACACAAGTTAGTGATGTTTTTGAAGATTTTTTCGGTGGAATTTCATTTTTATTCTTTATGGATTTAAGCCTTGAATTTGAAGATTCGTCTGCAGCAATATGCTGATAACGTTTATTCAAAATGGCTTCACAGTCACTCCATAATGGAAGATTTTCAAAATCTAAATGTTCTTCCCATTTAGATTTAGTGACTGGATCAACTTTTGACATTACCAAATGAATTAATATTGCATTTGTAATCTTTTTGTCATCACCGATTGATAATAACGAGTCATAAATTGCCGATACTGTGTCGATCATGTTACGCAAAGCAGGAGCCGAAGGTTTTTTAATTTCAGGGAGATCAAAAAGTTTAGAAATGTTATCAAAAAATATTAGGCACTCATTATCATAAACCTTTTTTAGGCTGTTTAGTGCTTTTGGATAATTTTCCTCAGAAATCTGAAAAGCTTTGACTGTACCCAAAGCTTCGTCAGATAAGCATGAAATCAAATGATTAAATTTCTCGATATCAGTAAGCGTATGATCGTTATGAACCAAATTCTCGAATAAACTCATGAAATTTTTAAATTCGGAGTATTTTCCATTGAATTTTGGGAGTCGCATATTAGGTAACCTAGAGTGGTGAGCCGACATGTTAAATGACGTCTCAGCAAAGCTTGGTTTCCTTTTTTTGGCTTGTAAACTTAGCAATAACGATTTAGTTGATACACAAAGATCTTCAAGCTCAGATCTGTCACTATTCAAAGGATCAAAATTTTCCAACTCTGACTGATATTCCATAGCTTGAGTAATATAACCTTGCAATATTTCTAGACGACAATCTATCTCAAAAGTATTAAAAGATATTGTTTTTGAAATAATAGATTGTCGGATTCTAGAAATGCTATCTATCACTTTGGATTTTCTTTGAACTAAAATCTCCAGAGTATCTGGTTGAGGATCTTTTTGGTGTTTTTTGCCAACCATTTTACGGCCAATATAAACTTTCAAAAGAAAACTAGCTAATATTTTATTAAACCGAAAGGCATATATTGGAGCGTAATAAATTTTTAAAGAAATTCTCAAAATAGCCAATATAAAAAACTAAGACAATAACAGTCCTTGTACTTTCTAATGTGGCAGTAGATAATATTGAAATAAAAGTCTATTTTTACATAAAATTTTTCAGGGTGTAAAACTAAAAACGACTTTTGTAGATTCTTGTTCCAAAAACTAAATGCCACACAATTTATTTTGGGATTTATTTCAAATTGAATACAAAAGGAATACCTGTTAATATTCTGTCCTATGTCCAGTACAAAATCACACATGCAACCAGATTCCTTTTCCACTTTCAGATTTCATTAAATAAAATAATGGCAACTTAATACCAATTCCACATCAAAACTTTTTTATGTTTATTTTATCCGCTTTTTAATTTAATCTTTTAATTTTTATTTTTGATTTTATACACGAGTTTTGTTTATTTTTGATTATTAATTATTTAGGGATAGTATATTTTTAAAGAACAGATCAATAACTATACCATGAACCATTTATGTCACCACTAACCAATTCAGAGTATTGCCAGGTATAATAATTAATAGAATGATTTTATTAATCAAACTATATTAAACTAAAACTTTTAATAATATATTAAAATATATATTATTTGATCTGTTAAAACCTTTTTTAATTTTTCTCACAAATATAGTCTCTATTCTTTTAGTTTATTTATTCTTTTAGTTAAAAAAAGAAAAACACACAGACTTATTTCGTTCAGTGTAACTTTTCTGTGGAAAAATAAACTTGGCACCACCTTTCATAACAATTCGATTAACAGGCAGCCAGCTGACATACATTAATCGATGTATTTAACTAAAATGTAAACAAATCGAAAAAAAAATTATTAAACAAATAAACAACAGATGAAACAAATAAACACTGGCGAATAAAATAGCAAAAAAAAGGAAATTTAATAAATGAAAAACAAAATAATTGTTAAACTTGAAGTGTTTAAACAACTTTGTGTGGTGTGAATATTCGTTCGGATGCGATCGTGAAAATTTATAAAATGGCAGGAATGTACGTGTGAATCAAATATTTTCGTGGACAATTAAAATAGTTTTTGTTTGTTCTTTCTTTTTCTTTTTTTTTCAGGCTAGTATCACTTTTATAAAAAATATAATTGCAAATGGAGTGCAATATAATTTCGTGAAATTACCCGTAGAAATGCAAGTTAAATAATTTTGAGCAGTTTACAAAATTATCTCTCAATCTGAGTATATTACAGATTGTAGGTTAGAATTTCACAAAACTTAGTTGCACGTTACCTCGGTATCAGACAGTCCTGAATCCGTATTACTTTCCTGGTGATTGCTTCTACAGTTTCGGCAACGACAGCGGCAGCGAGGCATCAGTACGAGATGACAGTGTTCCAAGTAAGTAACGATGTTTTAAAAATGCTCGATTACTTTAGTAAGACGTGTTTCTAAACTTTTGCAATATATTAGCAATAAGTTTAATGTTTTATTTTGTATAATCTTAACAAAATAACACAATTGGATCGTAATAAATTAACGAATTAACAATTGATAATAAATAGAAAAAGATAAGTCCCTGCTTGGGCGCCAAAATGAAAAACCTTAATATTTTTTAAGGTAAAATTTAAAAATGGTGGGCAAATCTTTTCTATTTTTATTAAAAAATTAGTTTAAAAAACGAAGAAGAAACACGTCTTGTTTAAACCAATATATAATGAACAGTAAGTCTTTATTTAATTCAAATTTTCTATATAGCTATTAATACTTCATTTTTCTTTAGATATTTCTCCTACTTTCCCGTTGGCCATTGTTCATTCCATTTAACCGAACAGTAAGTAGAATATCTTATACTTTTGTTTAATGTTACATATGTTTAGATACATGTTTAGATTTATGTTTACTTTTATGTTTAAATACAATTCATTTTTAGTTTTAAATCTTAAACATGTTGTTTAATTGGGACAATTAACAGATAGGTAAGTGAACGCGAACTGGTGCAGAATCGAACGAACAAATAGTTTGGCATTTGGTTTGGTCCATTTGAAAATTTTTGAGATTGTTTTTAAATGTGTATGCCCGTTATAATACATTAAAAGTCGTTTTGCAGACCAGAAATACAATAACAAAAATTTTAATTAGTTTTCCTCCGATAAGTTCAAAATTACGGAATTTTTGAGACAAAATACTAAATGCGATTCTGAGCACAAAACTTATCATTTACTTTTTGATTTTATGAAAATAGAAAGACAAGTCCACAGGAGGGAAAGTGAAATCTTAATGTGAACCAAAGATTGTGTGTTAAAATATTCGTTAGATGTTTGTTTTTGCACAACTTTGCACAAAATACAATTTATGCGGTGTACATGACAATGAGGCATATTTCAGCTTTTAAGCATCAGATAATCATGAAATGAAGTAGGCATCTTACTACTGTGGGTCCAATGTAAATAAATACTTATACACTTACAGTCATACTGATAACCTCCACCCTCCATTTTCTCATTACACAAATATAATAAATACATGAGATAATTGTAAATACAATAAGTTGGCAGTCATCACGTCTAATAGATGTAGTGACGTGACTCGTGAGTTGAATAAACGTTAAACTACGAATGGAAACTACAAAACACCTTCACAGGATGTAACAAATCGGGAAAATTTGTTTAAGGTTTCTCGAATTGTAAGTGCCCTATAAAATATGATTTTTGATTTGTATTAAGTTACATAAATGTATTCCAATTTATCGGTTTTTTTATTCTTCAATTATTTGTATTTCTTTGCTGGAAAGTTGTAAACAGATTTATGGGTAAACAAATAACAATTTTTATATAATTTTTTTAAAGCTTCTAGGATCTAGTATAATAATTATGTGGTATCGAAATATACAACAATTTGTCAATATAGACGATAATTACCAAACTATATGATAAAATAATAATAATTCTTTTACTTTATGGTCAATTTTATAAAAACAATAACAATGGTTTACGATTCGTCTTATCTGTAAATGTGCTAAAATAAAATGATACAAATGAACATAGTACATACTCTCCATTTTATGTTAAAACTTTGTATATCCTTTTGCAAGTTTCTCAAAATATTTAAGGTACGTTCACACCTATCAAATATTTAATGAAAAAGATGTAACCACTATTTTTTGTAGATGTTTTCTAGATTTTATGTATATCTTTTTATTGCAAATAATATCGAAACTAACAATAAAGACATTCTTAAGTGATAACTTCACAGATATATTATGTTTGAGTAAATGATACATAAAATGTTCTTTTTTTAAGGATAATTTTCGTCAAATGTTTTATAGCTGTGAACGTACTTTTGGTTGAATCTGTTTGTATTTATTAAAGTTTACAAAAATTTAACACTAGAATTTCCTAAATACCTACAGATATTGATTTTGTCATTCCGTTTACACATCGAAATATTGGTCTAAGACAAAGTGGAAATGAAAATCATTGGGTTTTTTATACCAGTCTACTAGTTTATGTAATATATAGTATATTTTAAATTAGAGCAAAAACATTGGGAACGTTTTTTTTCACACATCCAAAATGTGGGACATTGGGGACCTCTGAACCCGTTCATTGAAGAGTTACAAATAAGGAGAATTTATTTGTACACAAATTAAGAAAAAAATTAAAATGAACGTGAGGTAGTTCAAAACTAGTTATTTCGAAAACACATGTTTCAAATATCCAACATTTACTTGGGGATAGTAAAAAAAACAATAGTCTCCTCTCTCGTTTACTTATGGTACGGTAAAGGCATGACTGCCTGTTCTCTGCATTATAAAGACTACATTTAATCCATACAAGGTAATGTCAACCAAGTGCTCTTTGTCGAACTGCTGGGTAATACATAAAATAAGTGAAATGATTGTTAGTGTTAAATATGTATGTATATATGTACATATCTTAATAGAATATAGAATATATAGAATAGAATATATATGTACATATCTTAATAGAAAAAAATTAAGAAATTTACCCATAAAAATAAAAAAAAGTGCGAATTAATATTAAAACTTTTATTATTTCGGTTATAACGAATTCTGTGAAACAAGTAAGCTAAGTTTGTTTATAAAGAAGAAGCTATTAAACAAATTAAAACTTTTTGCAAATATTTAGAATAACTTGTAATAAACGACAGTTCGTTAAAACCAAGTTTTACAGTATATGATCTATAAACATCGGAATTTATACTATATATGGTTTTAGTAAACGAAATTTATGTCTAATCAATTGACAGGAAAAGTATAAGATGGAAAGAAAGACTTACATTTGAAAGACGTGCAAAGCTTAAATGATTTCAGCAAATGAACTATTAAATACATACAAAATATAAGTTAATGGAGAAATCAACTATAAAACCAAAGAAAATAATATAACTTATGATAATGTTTGTTAAAATATTTCCAACAGCAATAAAAAAATCTATAAAAACATTAATAAAAGTTTTCTATTCATATTATTAATTAATTTTGGCCACAACTATATATATATATATATATACATATATGTATGTAAATCTTCAAATTGAAACTAAAAAGAAACATTTTAAACTTAATAATATTAAAAAAATAATATTCACATCCTATGGAACTACCCTCCCCATATCTCACAGCGTATGTCCTCTATGTAAGAGCGGCTGTGGGGTAAATGACCATCTTCGGTCGCCTAGCGATCACGACCTCAATTGGTAGTGTCTGTTACGTCTGGCTACCAAATCCCCCCTTCTTTTTTTATGTCGTGTGTGGTTTGGGTTACCTAGGCAACATAACCTTACCTCTCTATCGTCTGTTCCCTATGTTAAGGGCGGCTAGAAGGTACAATCTGGTTCTGTCAGTCCGAATGTTTTTGGTCGAAACAAAATCCAGGGTGCGTCTGACTCATATTGAGCGGCATCCTGTTCTGCGCCTGACCCCAAGGAAGCGGCAATGTCTTTTTTCATACCTGTGGTAGAGTTATAAACGTAGGTGTCTGACGCTAAGCGGTTGAAACCATCAACTAGCTTAACATCAGCACCTGAGCTGCAAGTAGCCATTATAGATCGTAGTCATCCCGATGACCACGATTGAAATTGTCCCATTGATCCAAGTGCCTTTTCGTACGACGTTGAGAGTTTGGAGGACAAATCCATACTAACACTAATTAAGCGTCAGAACAAAAAACTTGGTACTGACGACTGGACGATTGAACGAGGACGCACGAGGGATAAGGGAGAAGGTAAGGATCTCTGGATCAAAACTGGTTCAGAATCTAACCCCTGAAGGTAAAATAAGTAGCTGTATTTTGGTCAGGAAAGACATTAAAGTTGTCCTTCTATCTACAGTTCTGGTGATTTAACGGTAGTTGCATTAGAGCGACAAGTGTTACCAACCCTAATTATATCATCTGCGTACCTACCTTACGACGAAGACAATCCAACCCCACGTGCCTTACGCACACTAGTTGAATGGTGTAATACAAGGGGCCATGATCTTGTCATAGGATGTGATGCTAATGCCCATCATACTCTGTGGGGGAGCTCGGATATTAATGACAGGACCAACGCTGCTCAATAGGATCAGGGAACAGGTCATTGATATTACTTTAGTAGGGTACACTGATTCAGTCAGGATTCTTGATTGGAGAGTATCGCTAGAATACTCATTCTCCGATCATCACAGAATAATCTTTACGATACAGCTTACGCTGACTTGCGAAAACCGCTTTAGAAATCCTAGGAAAACCGACTCGGTCAAATTCAGTAATCTGATTGATACCATACCACCTCCAGAAATGGATGGACTACATGGTACACAGGACTTGGACGACTCAGTAAATTATCTATCCAGGACTTTAAGGGAAGCCTACTATGCTTCATGTAGGGAGCGGCAGGTTCCTAGGAAATTCCGGCAACCATGGTGGGATCCTAAACTAATGCAGCTAAGGAAAGAATGTAGGAAACTATTTAATAAAGCGAAGAGGGATTAAAACCCGTTAAGCTGGGACAATTATCGTCAAAGCTTCAATACTTTCAGGAGGGAAACCAGACGAGCTAAGAAGGAATCTTGGAAGCGTTTCTGTGAGGAGCTGGAGAGTACCACGGATGCATCACGTCTACGGAAGGTGCTATCCAAAGTACCCCTGGATTCCTGATGAAACCGGATGGTAACTTTACTGCAAGTAAAGTTGAACTGCTTAAGACATAAAAGAATATGTTATGGCTTCTTTCTTAGACATTGAATGTGCGTTTAACAACGTGAACATATCCGCAGTAGTCGAAGCACTGGGTGACCTAGGTGTTGATCAGCAAACATGCTTAAGAGCAGGGCCACTAACTCACAAGGTGGTGTCGTCTCTCCACTCCTGTGGAATCTTGTCGTAAATAAAATCCTTTTCAGATTTAGTAGGATTGGCTTCAAAGTAGTCGCATATGCTGACGACGTTGTGCTTCATATTCGAGGGAAATTTCTTCCCACAATAAAAGAACTCATGGAATCAGCCCTCAGTGTTCTACTGTCATGGGTCAAGGAAAACTGTGTGGGTTTCAACCTGGCCAAAACAGAACTGGTTCTTTTCACTAACTAACTAACTAACTACTACTAACTAACTAACTAACTAACTAACTAACTACTAACTAACTACTAACTAACTAACTAACTAACTAACTAACTAACTAACCTACTAACTAACTAACTAACTAACTAACTAACTAACTACTAACTACTACTAACTAACTAACTAACTAACTAACTAACTAACTAACTAACTAACTACTAACTAACTAACTAACTAACTACCTAACTAACTAACTAACTAACTAACTACTAACTAACTAACTAACTAACTAACTAACTAACTACTAACTACTAACTAACTAACTAACTAACTAACTACTACTAACTACCTAACTAACTAACTAACTAACTAACTAACTAACTAACTAACTAACTAACTAACTAACTAACCTAACTAACTACTAACTACTAACTAACTA